CGGAGCCACCGCCCCGCCCCTCCGCCCCCTCGCCTGCCTTCCCCACTCCCCCGCCCTCCCCAGGACCTTGGGAAGGGGCTCAGCGTGGGAAAGGGATGGTTGAGTTTTAACCAGAGGCTGAGCGTGAGCGGGATCAGTGTGTGCCGAGCGCGAGCATCCGTGCGCGGAGAGGCGCCGCTGTTAACTCCTGCTTGCCCGCAGCGCCGGACCCTACACCGGAGCCCCAGCGCAGCAAGCATGAAGCGCGCTCACCCTGAGTACAGCTCCTCCGATAGCGAGCTGGATGAGACCATAGAGGTGGAGAAGGAGAGCGCGGACGAGAATGGGTGAGTCGGCGGCGGAGGAACAGAGCTGGGCCGGGGCAAGCGCGGCCTGGCCGCAGTGACAGCCGGCCAGGGCCGGGGGCGCGCCAGGTGCCCTGCGCTGACCTCGGCGCTTCGCAGGCTGGTCACTGCCGGTGGTGAGGGCCGTCCGAGGCATTTTCAAGTCCAAGTTGCCAAAACAATCTGAGTGCGGGGAGGGCCTGGGGGTGACCTCTTAGATCACCTCCCCTCGCTTAACGGCGATTCTGTTTTTTTCCCCTCCTCCTTTCAGCAACTTGAGTTCGGCTTTAGGTTCCATGTCCCCAACTACATCTTCCCAGATCTTGGCCAGAAAAAGACGGAGAGGCGTGAGTCTCTTTACAATTATCTCTCTCTCTCTTTTGTTATTAATGAACGGAAAAATACCCCTTTTTTTCTTTGGGATTTACAGTCATAATGGAAGTGTCCTCCTTTTGTTTTACCTGTTTCCTGCAGATCATTGAGAAGCGCCGAAGAGACCGGATCAATAACAGTTTGTCTGAGCTGAGAAGGCTAGTACCCAGTGCTTTCGAAAAGCAGGTAATGGAGAAAGTAGGTAGCGCTCTCGGGGTAGCTATCCGCACCTTCTGAATCCTCCCCCGCTTAATCTGAGCCTCAGCCGAGTCTTGGAAAAGAGCCGTTGCTTATGCCTAGATGAATTCACGCACAGATTCCAACGCGTTTTGTAGAGACAGCTCATCTTGCTTTAGTACGCATAGTACGGTTTACGAAGCATACATTCTTGTATATTTTTAAGGTGTTTGCCAAAGACACTTATGCCAAATCAATCTTTGCCATTTTTTAAAGGGATCTGCTAAACTGGAAAAGGCGGAGATCCTGCAGATGACAGTAGATCACTTGAAAATGCTGCACACGGCAGGGGGCAAAGGTACACATCCCTAGTCCTGGTGGGGGCTCTGAGCGTTTGGGAGTAGAGCACGCAATAGCTGCAGGCCAGGACTGGCGCAGATGGTGCCTCATATTTTTGAGAGGGGTGGCGAGGAAAGGGGTGGCGGGGAAAGGCGTGGAGTGTAGCGGTTGCTAGTCATTTCCAACTGACATGGAATGTGTTCCTTGAATGCATCATCTGGATCCTCTGCAGACAGAGCTAGTGCATCTTTTGGAAATGCATGTTGTCTGGGAGGTCCTCCACAGTTGTGACAACCCTGATTCAAATCCGGTTATGTTCACATTTGTCTATTGCTATATTGAGAAAAAGGTTTTATATATATATATATATAAATACATATATATATTTATTTAAATACATGGTCATAATTTTGTATACAGGATTAAAAAAGAAAAATACGAGCTGCCACATGATTCTTGACGAAAGCAATCTATTGTGGTTAAGTAGAGGGAACCTAACAGAAGGTGGGAGACCCAGCTCTGCGTGTCTGTCTCCAGCCGGAAAATGCTTTTACTGAGGACCAAGTGCCTAAAAGCTCCACGATGATAACTTACATCTGTGTGTCTAATGAATTTCACTACTCTGTGGTTTCTCTGTCCTTGATGTATTTTTTGTTGTTGTTGAGGGAAAACATTAAAGGAATGAACATAGTTTCATCTGCTGGTAGGGTATAATTCCAATTTCGGCTCAGCAGCTTCTAATTGGGCTTTGAACTTCTATTAGCAAACACATTCTGCTTATGTTGATTCATGCAAAGGTTTCAGGCGACTCCAAAATATTTGGACTTTTGGAAGAACCCCTGAGTGCAGTGATTTAAGGATGTGGGTATTTGCCAGGAAGGGCTGCCTTTGGGATTGAAGAAATGCTGGAAATGAGCAAAGCCCTGAGGTTTTCCCTTTGTTCCTTTCCTCAGGCTATTTTGACGCGCACGCCCTTGCTATGGACTATCGGAGTTTGGGATTTCGGGAATGCCTGGCCGAGGTCGCCCGTTACCTGAGCATCATTGAAGGACTGGATGCCTCTGACCCGCTTCGAGTTCGGCTGGTCTCTCATTTGAACAACTATGCCTCCCAGCGGGAAGGCCCTGCGCTGCCCTCGGCGCTTCGCAGGCTGGTCACTGCCGGTGGTGAGGGCCGTCCGAGGCATTTTCAAGTCCAAGTTGCCAAAACAATCTGAGTGCGGGGAGGGCCTGGGGGTGACCTCTTAGATCACCTCCCCTCGCTTAACGGCGATTCTGTTTTTTTCCCCTCCTCCTTTCAGCAACTTGAGTTCGGCTTTAGGTTCCATGTCCCCAACTACATCTTCCCAGATCTTGGCCAGAAAAAGACGGAGAGGCGTGAGTCTCTTTACAATTATCTCTCTCTCTCTTTTGTTATTAATGAACGGAAAAATACCCCTTTTTTTCTTTGGGATTTACAGTCATAATGGAAGTGTCCTCCTTTTGTTTTACCTGTTTCCTGCAGATCATTGAGAAGCGCCGAAGAGACCGGATCAATAACAGTTTGTCTGAGCTGAGAAGGCTAGTACCCAGTGCTTTCGAAAAGCAGGTAATGGAGAAAGTAGGTAGCGCTCTCGGGGTAGCTATCCGCACCTTCTGAATCCTCCCCCGCTTAATCTGAGCCTCAGCCGAGTCTTGGAAAAGAGCCGTTGCTTATGCCTAGATGAATTCACGCACAGATTCCAACGCGTTTTGTAGAGACAGCTCATCTTGCTTTAGTACGCATAGTACGGTTTACGAAGCATACATTCTTGTATATTTTTAAGGTGTTTGCCAAAGACACTTATGCCAAATCAATCTTTGCCATTTTTTAAAGGGATCTGCTAAACTGGAAAAGGCGGAGATCCTGCAGATGACAGTAGATCACTTGAAAATGCTGCACACGGCAGGGGGCAAAGGTACACATCCCTAGTCCTGGTGGGGGCTCTGAGCGTTTGGGAGTAGAGCACGCAATAGCTGCAGGCCAGGACTGGCGCAGATGGTGCCTCATATTTTTGAGAGGGGTGGCGAGGAAAGGGGTGGCGGGGAAAGGCGTGGAGTGTAGCGGTTGCTAGTCATTTCCAACTGACATGGAATGTGTTCCTTGAATGCATCATCTGGATCCTCTGCAGACAGAGCTAGTGCATCTTTTGGAAATGCATGTTGTCTGGGAGGTCCTCCACAGTTGTGACAACCCTGATTCAAATCCGGTTATGTTCACATTTGTCTATTGCTATATTGAGAAAAAGGTTTTATATATATATATATATAAATACATATATATATTTATTTAAATACATGGTCATGTTTTTGTATACAGGATTAAAAAAGAAAAATACGAGCTGCCACATGATTCTTGACGAAAGCAATCTATTGTGGTTAAGTAGAGGGAACCTAACAGAAGGTGGGAGACCCAGCTCTGCGTGTCTGTCTCCAGCCGGAAAATGCTTTTACTGAGGACCAAGTGCCTAAAAGCTCCACGATGATAACTTACATCTGTGTGTCTAATGAATTTCACTACTCTGTGGTTTCTCTGTCCTTGATGTATTTTTTGTTGTTGTTGAGGGAAAACATTAAAGGAATGAACATAGTTTCATCTGCTGGTAGGGTATAATTCCAATTTCGGCTCAGCAGCTTCTAATTGGGCTTTGAACTTCTATTAGCAAACACATTCTGCTTATGTTGATTCATGCAAAGGTTTCAGGCGACTCCAAAATATTTGGACTTTTGGAAGAACCCCTGAGTGCAGTGATTTAAGGATGTGGGTATTTGCCAGGAAGGGCTGCCTTTGGGATTGAAGAAATGCTGGAAATGAGCAAAGCCCTGAGGTTTTCCCTTTGTTCCTTTCCTCAGGCTATTTTGACGCGCACGCCCTTGCTATGGACTATCGGAGTTTGGGATTTCGGGAATGCCTGGCCGAGGTCGCCCGTTACCTGAGCATCATTGAAGGACTGGATGCCTCTGACCCGCTTCGAGTTCGGCTGGTCTCTCATTTGAACAACTATGCCTCCCAGCGGGAAGCCGCGAGCGGCGCCCACGCAGGCCTTGGACACATACCTTGGGGGGGCGCCTTTGGACATCACCCGCACATCGCGCACCCTCTGTTGCTGCCGCAAAACGGCCACGCGAACACTGGCACCACCGCCTCTTCCACGGAACCACACCACCAGGGCAGGTTGGCCTCGGCACATCCGGAGGCGCCCGCCTTGCGAGCGCCCCCTAGCGGCGCCCTTGGACCGGTGCTCCCCGTGGTCACCTCCGCATCCAAACTCTCACCACCTCTGCTCTCCTCGGTGGCGTCCCTGTCGGCCTTCCCCTTCTCTTTTGGCTCCTTCCACTTACTCTCTCCCAATGCACTGAGCCCTTCGGCACCCACGCAGGCAGCAAACCTTGGAAAGCCCTATAGACCTTGGGGGACGGAGATTGGCGCTTTTTAAAGAACTAATGCTGTAGAATGAGGGAGGGGAGAGCTTAGAACTCCAGCTGAGCTGGACTTTTGCCAACATCACCTTAAAGTCGTCAGTAAAAAGTAAGGAAAAAGGTACACTTCCAGATAATTTTTTTTATAAAAAAGACGGAAGGTTTGTTGGTTTACTTTTTTCTTAAAATTTTTTTTATCATGCCATGCGTTAGAAGTTTTTAAAATCTAGTTAAATTTTGTTTAAAAATGTTACATTGAAATAGTATAAATCAACACTTTGTGATAGGTTTGTCCTATGCCTGATTTACTTTGTAAACCTATCTGTTTAAGAATGATCCCATTTTTTGGTCTCAAAGTTTTGGGAACCTTAACATTTAGTGTTTTTTTTTTTTTTGGTATGTTTTTTTCTTTGTGTAGTAATGGTCTGTTTTTAGAATTAATTTTCCAAGCCACTATGCTCGATGTTAACATAATTATGTTTGTTAATCTTTTGACAGATTAAGTTGTCATATAAATAATATTCTTTTTTGGGGGAGGAGTGGAAACTATAATGAATTTTATATTTCTGAACAAAGCGTTGACAAATCAGATGATCAGCTTTATCCAAGAAAGACTAGGTAATTCTCTGCCTCCTATAGTGGTAATGTGAATGTACAGACTGTTGGTGTCTCTGAGTCCATGTGACCAACTGTGGTTGTCTGCTGGAACGTTCACTTCTGGCAGTTTGAGCTTAGTTAGGGGGGAGCCACTGATAACTTGAGGCCCCCCTTGGCCTGTCGATGGGGAGGAGACTGAGAAGATATTGGCGTAGAATATGCCTGCATTTACCAGCCCTACAATGCAATGCATTTTGGATCTCATGGATCTCAAATTCACATATGTCAGCGTGGATAAGTGATCATGGTGTACAGTGGTCAATGGAATCGCACAGTGGAACCTGTTAAATGCATAACCTGATTCTCCTGGAATGGACACATTTTCTTTTCACTGGACTTTTCTTATGTTGTGTTTTCCTTTTGGTGCATGGAGATACGGTGGTTGAGATATTTAAAAGGGCTTTGCTGCCTGCTTCTCTTTGGTTTATTTGATTTGATTCAGGCTATAAAAGTATCATTTTACAGGTTTATTCCTTTAGCAGGTGTAGTTTAAATGACCTCCACTGAACTGGGTTTGACCTCTGTTGTACTGAAGTGATGTGACTAAATAAAAAAGGAAGAACAAAGTGTTCTGCTGCTTATGTCTTACATGCCTTGGCCATTCCTTTTATTGGCTAAGAAAAGATCCCTTTTCTTTCATTTTCATTTTGCCTGATGATCAGTTTGCATACATGTACCAATTTCATAATTCGTGGAATTCTAAACTATGGATTTGTGCTGTTGAATAGGATTACTTCATTACAACGCAGAACTCTGGCCTGCCTCCCACATGGGAACATAGCCCTTTTGCTGTGAGGTCAGATAATCTGGCCCTAAATTACCCCTCTATGGCTAAGGGGAGCCCAAGTCAGACAGGGAGTTGCAGGGGTAGGAAAGAACTCTGAGGAAATCTTTTAAAAACTGATTAACCACTCCACAGCTATTTACTGAGAGCACCACCTATGCTCAGTTCTATGCCAAGAGCATAGAACATTTCTTTTTTTTTTTTTAATGGCAAAATGAGAAAATTCAAATGTTCTCCGCGGGTCCTGAGCAAGGGCCCAAATCCACGGCATGATGAGTTGTAATTCCGCACCTGCGCAGTTCCAGGAGTCTTCCTGGCCTTGTTTGTAAGGAGTTTGTTTAACCCTGTAGTTGCAAGGGATCCCTGAGCCACGTTGTGAGGAAGCTGACATATGCTTTAGGTTAGAACAAAACGCTGCCAGAACAGAGGCAGTAATCCAGCCCCGGGGGAGAGGAGTGTCTTTGCACAGTCTTAGAAGTAGTCCTGCCAATTAAGGAGTGCTGCCTCTTAGCTTGAAGGAGTTTGCCTTGATCCAGGGGGTAGGGGGGGGGAGGGAGGAGGGAGAAGAAAACCTACTCTGA